CATCATTTACATTATCAATATGACCAATTTTGCCATATCACATTATTTATGAATATTGATTTATGAAACTAATGGCTAACCTCTCTTTTGATTGTGATCTTAGCAGCTTAATCTTATAATTAATAAATCAATTGGCTAAATGATTTTTAAAACCTTGTTTTACAATGTCTTTTTGATTTAACAAAAAGGGGGAGAAGAATAAGTGTTAAAGTAAGGGGGAGTAATTTCTAATTTCAAAACTTGATTTCAAAAATCTTAAAATTACTAAAATGTTTTGTTATATCAAAAAGGGGGAGATTGTTGAAACATTTTAATATTTCGATATAACAAATTAAGTTAAATGGATTTTAAGATTTTCCAAATGATTTTCTAAGTATATTCGATATAACTATTCGAATATCAAAACATTACTCCAAATATTTCAAAAATCATTTTTGATCCTTACTTAAGTGTAAAATTAAGTTTTAATCATAAAACAATTTCAAAATATTTTATAAAGTATTTCGAACCAATTCAAAGTCAAAAATTCCAGATTACTCAGAGGGAACCGATTCCCCCCTGAATGGTTTGGCTCCGAGATTTCCAGAATGCTCGGAGGGAACCGATTCCCCACTGTTCAACGGTCGAAATATTTGAATTTTACACTTAGGGAACCGATTCCCTATGAGAGGGAACCGATTCCCCCCACTGTCCAAGCTGTTTTATTAAATGTTTTCACACTAAAACGGCTATAATATATTCTCTAATTATCCCCAACGTTCAGAAGTGATCCAAGGTGTATTTAAGCAAGCTTAGAAGCCATTGATCAACAACAAGAAACATCAAGCAACTAGAATCAAGAGAGAATCAAAGAGAAAGCATCAAACCTCAAGTTTGAGCATTTCAAGCCCATTTTCATTCAATATTCATTTTGCTTTCAAGAACACTTTTTGTGCTCAGTTGTATTCATCTTTGAGTGTTCTTTTCTTTGTTCTAGAATTGTGCAAACATCTTACCTTGTGAGGTTTTCTTGTAAGTTTGCAAATTTGTAATCTTCTCTTTGAGAAAAGAGTGTTCTCAAGAGTTGGGGTATACTCTTGAGGAAATTGTAAGGTTATCTCTTTGGCCTCAAAAGAAAGAACAAATTAGTGAATTTGTTAGAAAATCCTTAGTGTGGATAGCTAAGGTAGTGGACGTAGACTTTGTTTGAGAAAGTCGAACCACTGTAAATCGCTGTGCAATTATTTTCAATTTTCTGCAAAAGCTTCCACAAAATTTTTATTGCCAATTCACCCCCTCTTGGCCAATTTCGTCATTCGATTAACTCAACAGATTATGATGTTGTGATTGATTTCCATCATGGAAAAGCAAATGTGGTAGCTGATGCTTTGAGTCGAAAGACGTTTGCAACTTTTTGAGCTCTTAATGCTAGATTATCGTTAAGTGGAGATGGTGCAATATGTGCAGAACTGACTATCAAACCATCATGGCTAGATCAAATTAAATAATTGCAAACTAAAGATGAAAAGTGTTCAAAGAAGATACAACAAATAAAGAATGGAGAGTGTACGGATTTTGAGATCAAGTCTGATGAGAACTTGTATTATCGAGAGAGATTAGTAATTCCGGATGATGATGAATTAAAGAATGATTTGGTAATGGAAGCTCATTGTAGTCCATTGACAATACATCCAGGAGGGAACAAAATGTATATGGATCTCAAGAGTCAATATTGGTGGCCGGGAATGAAAAAAGACATTACGGAGTTTGTATCAAAGTGTTTGACTTGTCAACAGGTCAAAGTTGAGCATCAGGTTCCGTCAGGACTATTACAACCAATTTCGATTCCTCAGTAGAAATGGGAGAACGTAACAATGGATTTTGTGTCGGGGTTACCTTTAACTCCGAACAAAAGGGATTCAATTTGGGTGATTGTAGATAGATTGACTAAGTCAGCCCATTTTATTCCGATGAAAACTGATTTCTCTATGGATAAGTATGCTAAGATGTATATCAGAGAGATTATACGTTTGCATGGTGTACCTATTTCCATAGTTTCTGATTGGGATCCTAGATTCACATCGCGGTTTAGGAAGTCATTACATGGAGCATTGGGAACTCGATTGAACTAAAGTACAACGTTTCATCCTCAGACCGATGGACAATCCGAGCGAACTATCCAAATTCTGGATGATATGATTAGAGCTTGCGTAATCGAATTCAAAGGATCGTGGGAAAGGTATTTATCACTTGCTGAATTTGCATACAACAATAGTTATCAGTCAAGCATCAAAATGGCCCCCTATGAATCTCTTTACGGGAGAAGATGTCGTACGCCCTTGAACTGGTATAAACTTAAGGATCGAGAAGTTATAGGTCCTGAATTGATTCAGGATACGGAAGAAAATGTTCAAGTAATTCAGAATAATCTGAAAGCTGCAGCTGATAGACATAAATCGTATGCTGATTTAAAAAGGAAATAGATTGAATTTCAAGTCGGAGATAAAGTGTTCTTAAAAGTATCTCCGTGGAAGAAAGTATTGAGGTTTGGACGTAAAGGAAAGTTGAGTCCTCGGTTCATTGGATCTTACGAGATTACTAAGAGGGTCAGACCAGTAGCATATCAACTAGCCCTGCCATCTGAAATGGAAAGGATACACAATGTTTTTCATATCTCAATGCTTAGGAAATAACGATCTGATCCATCCCATATTGTGACTATCGAAGAGATCGAGGTTCGACCAAATTTGACTTATGAGGAAGAACATGTTCAAATTTTAGCTCACGAAGTCAAACAACTAAGAAACAAGACTATACCATTGGTTAAAGTCTTGTGGATGAATCACAAAGTAGAGGAAGCAACATGGGAACGTGAAGAGGATATGAGGATGAAGTACCCCTACCTCTTTGCATAATGAAAATTCGAGGACGATTTTTTTAAGGGGGGAAGAGTTGTAACATCCTCATTACTGGGTTAGTGACTAAATTAGAAAGTTTAAGATTCTGGTGATTAAAATAGAATGAATGAATAGTATAAAGATTTATATATAAATGATTGTGTAGGATTGAATTGAAAAGAAGAAAGAATGGAAAGGCAAAAGAGTCATTTACAAGGAAATATTAGTTAAAGAAAGGATATATATATGAGTACACGTGGGTTGGAAAAGAAGAGAACACCAAAGGCTTCCAGAGTTCTCTTCTTCTTCTTTCTTCCTTGTGCGTGTGAACCAAAACAATGGTAAGTTTTCTGATTGTTGAGTTTCTTGTTAAGTTTAAAATTGGGGTTCGATTATTTGATGATAACTAAGCTTAAGGAAAACTTAAGTTATCTTAAAATCAAAGAATGATGGAGTTATGAGAGATTAAAGATTAGAGGTTCTTGAATGAAATATTGGAATAGAGTTCATAACTAGAATTGAAAGTTAAATTTGACTTGTCATCAATCTAGTTAAGATATACGAAGTGTTGGAAGTGGAATTAAAACATGTTGAAAAATTGATGTAATTCTTGAATTATATATGAAGAATATGATTTTGAGGTTTAAGATGAAATAAATGAGTATAGATTGGTTTAAGTATGTGTACTGGAGTTAAGAATATAAAAGGGGACGAAACATGAAGGATTTAAGTAAAAATGGATGAGATTTCGGGTTCAAAAAGAGAATTCTGGGCAGAGTGCATCGATGCACATTCAATGTGTATCGATGCATCAAGGTTAAATCCCATAAATTTGTTGAAGGTGTACCGATGCACAATTAGTGCATCGATGCACTTCTTAATAATAGAAACATCGAATGCAATTAGTGCATCGATGCATAAGGAATGCATCGATGCATCCTCTTAATATTAAAACATCGAATGCCTTTTATACACCGATGCATAAGTAGTGCATCGATGCATACCTTCATTGAAAGATATAATTGACTTTTCTCTTAATCTAAGGAGTGAACCATTAGAGTATATTAGTTATAATACTGATATAGATCCATGTGTGATTATATAGATACTAAACGTAAGCTTGCTCCGGAACGATCAAAGGATTAAAATCGAACCAAAGTAAAGCTAAGGTGAGTGCATTTTATAGTTAAAGTGTATAGAGACAAGACTTGTGATAAGTCTATCTTTGATAGTTGAATTAATGATTTCATACCCATGTATATGCATACATACTATTGTAATAGTGATTGCATGCATAATGCATTATATGTTCATATGACATTAAATGAACGAATATTATTGCCAGACAATATAATCCATGTATGTGAAATACTGGAAAGATTATGTGTTTACATGAAAAGTGATTAAAGAGATGAAATGAGAAACGTATTCATATTAAAGCCCATGTTATATGATACGAGAGCTATAGGTATAGTTGGCATGCCAAGAGTCGAGGGTATATTAGTCCTTCGGGATGTATCGAGTGGTCCTTCGGGACATAGTGGTCCTTCGAGACAAATACTGAACAAATGTTCGGTGCCCCTTGAGGGAATTATACGAGCTGTGGTGACAACATTATTGCACAACATCAATGTACTCAAATACCTCTGTTCTCAAATAATGTACATGGGCAATTTAAAGATAAAGTAAGGTGAAAGTAATACAAGAAAATAAGTTTCATACGTACATGACATGATTGTATCGGTTATAGTGAAATATATACATGCATATTGAAATGTTATGATCGAATGGTAAGAATGCATATTCATAAATCTATAGCTACATATTTATTTATTGCCTCACTAAGTCTATGACTTAGTGTGTAAGTGATTTACATGTAGGTACCAGGAAACAAGAAGAGCAGTACTAGAAGTGGCAAGAATAACATCATTACTAAAAGATCAGATCAGAAGTAATTGGCAAAGTTGGTACCTATTTTCATTTTATTTGCATTGTAATCTTAATCTGCAAGTGAAATGAAAAATAAATAAATTTATACCATCCACATCAACACCGGATGTATAAACCAATTCCATGAAAATTAACATAAAAAATGATTAAACGGTTACAATATGTACAAAATATATGCCCCAAACAGGAGCATAGAGATAATCTCTAAAGATACTTGAAGAAATGCATTAAAAAAACTCTGAAGAAAATATGATAATACCCCATGTCAAACATGCATGGCATATAACAAACATGCTAGTTCTTGTCCCATCATCACCTGATTGCTCCCAGCAAGTTTGCTCCATCAAGCTTTGCACCCTCCAAATGCTGACAAAATAAACAAAAAAACAGTAATACAAAGAATGTGAAAATCTTTTGATTTGATCTGTAAGTTTAAGATGGAACTCCACTAGAATTCCAGAAGGTATGGAAAGTATAACAAATGTGAAAACTCTTTCGATTTGATCCGCATCGATGATGCAGTCTGCAAGCTTTAGATGAAACACCACTATGCAAATTGCACACTATACAACTTACCGTATCACGAAGATTAACATGTCGTAAATAAGCCCTTTGGAGGTTTGCACCCTTCAGATTTGCATTGCTTAATTTCACACCCTGAATAACATGTTAATTACAATGAACATATCACAATAAAATGCTGTGTCAATACAATTCATTCGACATCGAGATAAGTTATCGCACATCAAAATTAATGAGTTATGAAGCGCCGGTATGTTTTGTTCCGGTGCCAAATGATAACTTCATATAGATAAAAGGGTTAACTACATTATTCATCTCTTATTTTTGTGTTTTGTCTACTTTTCCCCACTGATTTCAAAAAAATAATATATTGTCACTTTTGTTTCTATTTAATTAAGATATGGTCACTATCGTTTTTATTTAATTAAGATGTAATCATAACAAGTTAATTGCCGTTAACTAGGTGACGTGTTATTTTGGTTTAATCGTACATTTAGTCTCTGTTATTTACATATTCTCTCAATTTAATCTTACTTTTAATAAATTAAATAATTTAATCATCCAATCGAATGATGCCACATGTCACTATTCTGTTGAAAGACTAACTTTATTTAAATTTATTATTTTTTACCAATCAGAAGGTGACACGTGTCAGCCTCTTGTTGAAAGAAAACAAAACAAAGCAAATTGGGGTTAATGGGATTCAAACATAGGTCTCTTGTGACACGTGACATCATTCGATTAAAGAATTAAATTTATTTTAGTTTTTTAAAAATATAACTAAAATGAGAGAATATGTAAATAACAGAGACTAAGTGTGTGATTATACCAAAATATTTAATGACAAATAACTCATGATAACCACATCTTAAATAAATAAAAACAAAAGTGACCATATATTACGGTTTTTGAAATCAATGAGGAAAAGTAGACAAAACACAAACACAAGTGATAAACCATGTAGTTAACCCTAGATAAAATGATATATGCGCGCCGAAACAATCGATTTGTAAACGCCATGCTTAAGGATCTCTTACCTTCAAATTGGCTCCTTCAAGATTAGCTCCCTCTAAGTTGGCATCAGTAAGATCAGCAGTCTAAAAGTCCAGAGATAAGCATATTAATAGTTTACAATACCACAACCGGCCCACTGAGAAGACTCAACTAGTCAATAAACTGACAACGATAAGCTATGTTGCTCCAACAATTTACTTTCTTCGATGTGTACTCAAATATAGGTATAGGAATATGATCATTCAAAGACCCTCCAAAAACATGGAAAAACTTTTAAATAATTGAAACATGGACATGCCTAGCACATGCACTTACTCGAAACTCACGCCCAAACCCAATTAAAAACAACAATAAGCATAACATTAAGAAAACCAACAATGACGAAATTCTTCTTTTCTTTGACATCACGTTAATGAATAGTTTCAATCAAAGAATCAAACCATGCGTAAGCACATGCCATATGTATCCTCCATAATGATCAAATATGGCAATCAATGCACTAGAGATTGATTCAAATGTTAAACGCTCTCTCATTAATCCTTCCTCATGAGGAATTAACAGTTGTACTTTAGCACAGCATACAATTTAAATTTTAATGTTGAACATTCAATCAAAGCCCCACCATATTGTAGCTCAAATAACGATGAATCTAAAAGTATTATTCCAACAAGATCAAGGAATTTAAAGAATCACCTGCAAGTGTGCAGAACGAAGATCCGCCCCACAGAAGCTACAATCTATCAAACAGGCATCTGCAACAATGAAATCGATGAAGCTGCATCAATATTTAAACCATATGAGTAAATAGTTGTATTTAGCTATGTTACTCGGGCTCTAGAGTGAGTGCCGGATATGGGTGTGTTCAATTTTCATTTTCCAGATTTCCATGTAATTTGAGGGTCCTTAGAGAATCATATCCCTTATCCATGTCCAGATATGTGTCTAGCATAGGCGTACTTCAAGAAGAATGAAGAGTTAAAGCAACATAAGCCTTTAATAAGAAATCTATCAACTGTATAAAGATTGTAAGTATTTGCCTTGAAGATTTGCACTCTGAAGATTTGCCCCTGCTAGTAAAGCCCCGCGAAGATTTGCACCTGTAAATTCACACCTTCCCTAGGCAAAAATAAAATCCTTTGAGAACAAGATTCCAGAAAACACAAACTGCACAGAAAGGATAAATATGGCTGATTGTCTTACTCACGCAAAGTTGTATTGTGAAAAATCGAACCCTCAGCATCCACATCCTGTTATGAAAACAAAGAAGTTTAATACAAGTATGGGCTTAAACCTAATAAAGGCATTCACCGTTAATCATATACTTCACTAAAAAACTAGATATACCCGGAATTTTGCACAATGAAGATTTGCACGCGAGAAAAATACATTTTTAAGACAGGCAAAGCTGAAATCCACAAATGAAAGATCCTGCACGAATAAAGAACAGAAAAGAAGATAATGAATACTAAGTGCAATAACTAGCAGTATTATGCCTGTTTCGTGGGACTTGAAGTGGAACTAGAGGAGATCAAATGGGAACAAAGAGAGATTTCGAACATTCATATTAAAAGAAACATAAGCTCTTCTATAAGTACCCCAAAATATGTCACAAATACCATCATCATCATGATCTGTCAGTGAAAATGAGAAAAGTTGTAGTAGACACAAAGCTAAAAACAGAAGATCAACGAGACTAAGTCTCACTTCCTTTGAACAAAGATTTCTACCCGGAAGAAACAAGAGTTTTAACATGAGATAAAGTTGAACTTTTAGGATCAGAAATTATTACCAATTTAGAGAGATCAAGGCCAGAAAGATTAACTCCCCGAAATCTAACTCTTTCAGACTGTATGCATTTGATGATATCGGTACGAGTCAATTCCGCATGATATTCTTCATCTTCCTTCCTCTTATTAAGAACAAAACTGATTCCTTCTATCAGCCCCTGAATTATATGCACAAAATACTGTTAATATGCTATAAACAAGCACCAGTCTTAAACAACAGTCTACAATCTGAACAATTGTATAAGGTGGTAGGGCATCCAGTGACCCAACATTGCAGTGATCTTAAATCATCAAAATTCATTAGAATAACTCATTTAATATTCGAATTAGGAAGTTAGTTTCTGTCAAATAGCTGAAAATGCCTCATATAGCAGTACTTCTTACAAGTAGCTGATAGTATTCTGCCTCTAGCATAACCTCTGAATATTCAGCATCTGTCAATGTGGGTACAATGCCATCCCTTAACCAGTTTAGAATATGCCGGAAATGCTTTCCGTCTCTGTCAACGAAGATATATCCCTGAAAGAAAATCAAGGAATATGACTATCTGCACCCAAACAAAGTTGCTTCAGAACGAACTAATATATCAAAAGTACATATAACTTTTGTCCCTTGTCCTCCTTTCAACGTTTCGTTGTGAATGAATAATGTGATGGAGGAAAAAGAAACAGATTTTCGTCACTCCCCCAAAACATAAATATCACAATCAGTTATTAAGTTTAACTGCTGACATTAACTGTTATCATGTAAATCAAATAAAATATGAATCACTAGTTCTTAACACATTCTTATGCGAATAATATTATCTAGCTTCCCCAATAATCATCCACAGCTCATCATGCGTGATAAATAGAACATTCAAAAAATTGTCATCTAAACTCCTGCAAAGGTGAAAATCAAATCCTCCCAGCAAACAGAGATTTTAAAAATCCAAATGTTGAAAAGTATATCGCATCAAACAGATGTATTGCATACATATCATTATATTATTAACCTGACTACATAATAGGAAAGTGCCCCAGCAATTAACACAGAAAATGTTGAACCTATTATTGACCTCGTAAAAGACATTGTATATCCCCCAAGTTTATGAAGAATGATACAGCTTATCACTCGTAAATTGATATAGCATAAATGGGATGTGCAGGAAAAGGAAAATAACAGTACAGGCACCTTCTCAGAGTCATGACACAATGCATGTCGACCGATGAACATAGCAGCCAGCATGGTATCCGGCTCACGCTGGGTTAATGTATCAATGGTGGTACAATATTTCTTCCCTCCTGCGCATCAAATTTTCTTTCAATTCAAGACATAGGCTTTAAATTTAAACTAAATTAGTTACAAAATTCAACTCCACACTTTTCGATATCGAAAGCAACTAAACCTTAAACAAACGAAACCCAGAAAAGAAATGCAGCATGTTCGCATGTACGTAAATCAGTTTCCTCTTCTTCATTTCAGAGACCAACAGAAAACATGGTTAGTCAAATACCCAATTAAAAAAAGTAATCATAGGGTTTAACTTAAACCATCAATCAAAGATAACACGCTAAGATAAAATTTGGGTTTTTCCTGTTTATTGATGAACCGATCGGAAATTCTCACTTTTTGCTAAATTAAGCAGTTGATTCGGATTTGATGAAACATGTAGAGATTATAGAGAATTTACCGATGCTGAGTCGAATAAGCGAAGACAAATCGGAATCTCCCATCATAAGAGATGAAATGAAAATCCTCAAGATTGAATGGCTTGCTGCAGCAAGCAAGCTAGGGAAGTTTTTTTAATGCAGATTTTTGACTGTCCTCATGGCAGTGTTGCCATTGCGATCGGCTCTCTTAAGTCGTCAAATGGGTCTGCCATTGGGTACTTATCTGGTTTTGTCGGCAAGCACGGGCCATGGATCGAATCTTGATTCGGGTCATTTGCGGAACTGCCGCAGGATCGGATTCTAGACTCGGGTTTACGAACTTGGGTCTCTTGAATTTATGTAAGATAATTATAAAAATATATAATGATTTCAATAGTATTATTACTTTAAAATGGCAATCTGGGTTTCCAAACTTAAATCAAGCATGAAACTTTTAATATCATTATTATAACTTTCGATATAGATTTATGAACTGCAATCATAGAAGTCATTGTCCAAATCATTTAAGATGATTTTTTGACAACATGACATAAATTTCTCTTGGATGTTATAATCCGATTTAGTTGAAATACATACTGTGATTGATGTGCTGCATTTTATGAGCAGTTGTAGGTGATGATATAGTTGTGTGAAGTCTACTTCTATTATGATAATTAATAAATTACCTCGTTAAATGTTTGAAGCTAATAATGATTTATTTTTCAGTCTGATTTTATTTCAAAGTGATTTAATCTTATGTTAATATTGATGTTACAGTATATAATCATATTTTTAAAAAGAAAAGTTTTAAAAGCAAAATAAGTGTAACATATGTTTAGGCGATTTTCCCGATATATCACCGGTGACCGGTAATATTATCGATCTAACACCGCTCAGACTATATTTCTCGATCTAACACCCTTAGCAGTAAAGCGCGCCCCTGTACCGCGCTATACGATGATTTGGCGTTACGTGGGTATAGCGCGCCCCGTGCACGCGCGCTATACGATGAGCTGGAGCCACGTAGGTATAGCGCGGCCCATGCAGTGCGCTATACGCCACGTAGGGGTATAGCACGGATCATGTACCACGCTATACATTTACTCCTAATAATTTTTATATAGGGCAGGCAGGTACCGCGACATACATAATTTTATATAGCGCGGGGCAGGTACCGCGTTTTGTATAATTTTCCTCGCTATAAAAACCATTCTCCGCCGGTTAATTTCTCACATCTCTCCTCTCAACTTATAAATTAATACAACAATTCCGTCAACGAGTTAATAATTCTAGCAATCTTCTCATATTTTATTTAGAATTCGTGTGATTTTTCGTTATAAGGTAATTTTGTTATAATTTTGTTATTGTTTATTATGATTATTTGAAAAAAATATTATACTAATTATTTTCAATTAATTTTTGTGTTTGTAAAATTGGAAAGCGGGAGCATACGTCGAAATAGTTTTGCGGTGCAGGTAATAATATTAAATTATATTATTTAATTTATTTATGTTGATGTGTAAAAATTTTATTGTGTTATATGTTCGTTCATATATAATTTATTAAATCAGGTTTGTTTCATTTTTTTCCAGATATAATAGTGCCGCACCTTTAAACTCAAATAATGGCGCGACTTTCAGCTATTGTTTATTATGATGGTGAAATTCGAGAAGATGAAACCGGCGTTGTTTTCGTATCAAATGAGCGTGTTAAAATATCATTCAAGAGAAAACATAACTCTTGAGGAGCTTATAACGAAGATTTTGAAGAAGATTCATGTTGGAAGTAGTAGAAGAGTGTCGTCGTTGCAGTATAGATTTCCAACATCATTGTTGCCATTAACTTATACAGCGTTCGAACTTTCGAACAATGATGATGTTGAAATGATGGTTGAAGCTCAAAGTAATTATTCAGACGCCGCTATTGAGATGTATGCACATTTTGTTCAAGTGCGTGTTGTTCGGGGTCAATCATTAAGCTCTCACTATGGGCTGACTGATCAAGTTGACAGCCTGACGACAGTAATGTGTAATGATTTTAATGTCATAATGGGGAGACATTCATCCGCAACTCCTTACGATATGTACCAAGGTAGGTCGACGAACAATCCGTATGGTAACATCGCGTCTAGTTCAAGGGGAAGGCACTCATCTGCAAATCCCTTTGACCTTAATATGGAGATGCCATCGACACAACCATCTGTGCAGTTTCCATTTGACGCGATGGCTTCAAGCTCTAGGGGGAGGCATTTGACTGCGAGCTTTTTCGATCTCAATGTCGACATGTCTTTCAGTTCAAGGGGAAGGCGTGCAAGTAGTAGGTTCTTTGACCTAAATGTGGAGAGCATGGAGGAACCATCATCTCCACCAGAAGAATCGTTTCGTGAGCCTGGTGCAAATGGTGCTGAGACTGGACTGTTCATTGACCCAGAATCACCGCAATTCAACTTCGATGATGATGAAGTTCCAGGAAATATGGCACAAACTGACCCTCCTGCACACATGTATGAAGCTGATTATGGTGCAATGTACGGGCCAAAATTTGCGGATATGCCTTATCTCGGTGACTATGGGTATTACTCATCAATAAATAATGGTGAGTTATCTTTAGGCATGGAGTTTTCAAGCAAAGAAGAAGCGATGATGGCTATCAAAAATTACAATATTCGTAATTCTGTTCAGTCCAGAGTAGACCGCTCCACGACCGAAAAATATGTATACTACTGTGCCCAGCGCAAAAACGGATGCAATTGGATGGTTCGCGTATCGAAGAGGAAGAGGAAAAACAACAGATGGGAACTAACAGTATACAACGGTCCTCACACATATTGTGCTGGAGGGGTCAACCAAGATCATCCCAACTTGGACTCTGAAGTGATATGCCAAGCCATCATGCCCATGGTCAAAGCAAGCTCTCATATAGCTGTTGCAGTGTTGATTTCAGCTATACAATCGCAGTATGGGTATACTGTCTCCTATAAAAAAGCTTGGTTGGCAAAACAAAATGCCATTGTCAAACTTCATGGCGAATGTGATGTATCTTATAACGAACTTTCAGGTTGGTTTAGGCTGGTGCGAACGTTGAATCCTGGGACAATTGTGGACTTCGAAACCTCCTATGCATACCATAATAATCGAGTTCTTCGCGATCGATGCCAATTCTACCGGGTTTTTTAGAGTTACCCAACAGTGCGTTAATGCTGTCAAATTCTGCAAGCTTGTGGTCCAGATCAACGGGACTTTCTTGTATGGAAAATACAAGCAAGTTTTATTATTGGTAGTTGTCCAAGATGGCAATCGCAACATTCTTCCAGTTGCTTTTACTCTTGTCGAAGGAGAAGATACAACTTCTTGGGCTTTTTTCCTCCGAAATTTACGTGCACATGTTATCACGAGGGAAAACATATGTGTCATTTCAGATTGCGGAGCTGGGATCAAAGCAGCAATAGAGTCTTTGGGTCCAATGTGGCAACCACCCTTTGTCCAACATAGGTATTGTCTTCGACACATTGCCGCGAACTACCATGGAAGGTACAAGAAGAATGATGAGCGTCAATTAATTGTGCGCATGGGTAAGTGAAACTTAGCAAGTTTGTTATCTTTCGATCGTTTTAATTTTGCAAAGAAAGAAAGTTAGTAAGTTATATATTTTTTGATCAGGTTACGAACTACTTCCTCGAACGTTTGAATCAATGTTTCAAGAGTTGCGGGCGAAGAACGAGGAAGGATATGATTACATCAGCCTCATTGATAAAGAAATATGGACGAACACATATGATGGTGGATATCGATATGGACACATGACGACCAACTTGGCAGAGGCAATCAATTCAACCTTAAAGGGTGAACGTCACTTACCTGTAGCGGCTTTGGTAAAGACTACATATTTTCGTTTGGGGGCGCTTTTTGCGAAACTCGGGGGACAAGCTCAAACCTGGATGTAAGGCGATCATGTCTATCACCCTAGATTAGTTGCAGATCTACAGAAAAAAATTGCTGCATCAAATGGAATGTCTGTAACAAGCTTCTCTAGAAGGCATGAAATGTTTCGTGTCATAGAGTTACCGCGACCTCTTCAAGGGATTGAAGCTGTGTCGTTAAGAGTAAATCTAAGGGACAGAACGTGCGACTACGGGTTTTTTCAAGCTCTGAAGTATCCATGCTCTCATGTGATAGCAGCTTGCTCGCATACACGTCAAGACTATAACCATTTTGTGGATCCCGTATACCTACTATCTGAAGTTTTAAGGTATATGAATTTGAGTTTCCCCCCAATAGGTAATGACAAAGACCCTGATGAGGTTCAAGATTGGCTTCCGATTTTACCAAATCCAAGTTTATTTAGGGAGCGTGGTCATCCAAAATCCAATCGAATTCATTGCGATATGGATATTAGAGAAAGATCTAGACAAGACAGAAGATGTGGGCATTGTAGAAACCCAGGACACACTAGAAAAACATGTCAACTTTTGTTGTCATCAAGTAACAATTGATGAGGAAATGATGTATTTTATTATCAAATAATAATTCTTCTACTTTAATTTGCATTTACTTCAAGTTAATGTCATTTGATAATCTCCGATGAAGATTAAAAAAACAAACACAATCATTAAATTTTAACAAACTAATAACAATAAGTATAAAATGGTAGATGATAACCAAATTACAATAACTGATATTAAATGGTAATAAAAAAACGAACTGAAATACATTAAAAAACAAAATAAAGTAAGTATTAAATGAGAAATAATAAAAAATTACAATTTAACAAAATAAAGTAAATACAAATATAATAAAAAATAAAATCTATCGATGCCTGCGACGCGAATGTGTTCCGCAGGGCGGTGGCTGTCAGTCTCGAGGAGGATTTCTTCGTATCACTGGTTCTGACTCCTCGCTGTCATCATCATCACCATCGTCGTCGTCGTCATCGTCGTCGTCGTCGTCGTCGTCGTCTTGCGCAAGTACATGAGGAGCTGATGACGATGAAGCACCTCCGTAGAATAAGGACCCTAGAGGTGTATGACTGACTATCCCACCGGCCTGCGAAAACTAGGAAAAGTCATAAAACCCAGACATCGTTGAGTGTGAAAATTGTACAGGAGGCGGTGTCTGTGCTGCAGCCATGGGTGATGAGGCTGAACCTGCCAAATATCCAGTATATGAACCCTAAGTTGGGTCTGCAAACATAGACCCATAATAGCCTCC